ACCCAGTGCTGCAGGAAGACCCCGACCACCTCAGGGCCTGGGCCGGCTGCTGTGGGCTGCCCTCTGGCAGGCTGTTCAGGGCCGGCCACACCCACACGACTTCCAGGGAAGCCTTCTCCGGCTGCGGCCCAGTGATAACTCGGATCTGAATATGAGGCTCGGATCTACGACCTACGAGGAGCGCCCAAAGCTGTGCTCAGGGCTTTTCCGAGGTGCAGATCAATGAGAGAACAAACGGGAGGAGAGGAGGCGGCCCTCGCTCCTCCTCAGACAGGCTTTGTGAGCCTGCCACTGCGCTCGCTCCTCTGAGACCACACTGACCTGCAAGGACAGCCCGCGCCCTTGAGAACAGCTCAGAGCGGGAAGCGGGCAGTAGGGCGCCCAGCAGCACAGCAGCAAAGGGCTGCCCGGGTCCTGCCAGGCTCCAGCGGGCCCCCGGCTTTGCTTGCTGTAGGCAGGCGGCTCCCTGGTCCCTGCCTCCTGCCTGGAGGTGGAGGAGGTGGTGAGGTACTTAACTGTACACCAGAGGAACCTGCCTTCCTCGGGAGTAAGTCACCAGTAATCAGAAGGTTTTCTTGGACGTGAGACTCGCTCCTCAGGTAGAAGGAAACCGTTTCTTATAGGCCAGACCCAGGTGCGTTCCTTCTCAGGCCGCAGGAGTCACCTGCGCAGCTCTCAGGGTGCGGCAGCCGGCCTACCCCGTCAGGGCTGCCCCTCTGCAGGACTCCAGGCAGCGCTGTGGGTGCCTGTGAAGGCCGTGAGCAGCCTGGTCGGGTAGCAGAGAAGGGCCACGCGCCAGCCTGAGCCGCTAGGCTCTGCAGCCTGGGCTGGGGTCAAGGGGCTTTCCAGGGGCCTTTGGCTCTCAGAGTCGGCCCAGGGCTGGCACCACCAGGAGCAGCCCCTGTCGTGAAAGACACAAGGATTCCCCCACACCTGCCGCCCGGGCACTGAGGCCTTACTACGTCATCAGGGCTTCGGTCGCATTTAGAGGCAGTGTGAGGCTGTGTCCACCTGAAGGTCTAGAAACTCAACACTTGAGGACCAGCATTTGTATGAGAATTTGCCGTCTTTCCACCATGTTGCTTTAAATAGGGTCCATTTCAGAACACATTGAATCATCCATTCTTTGGTGCTCTGCTCTCCTCTCCAAGCCAGGGGGCTCCGAGGTGCTTTGGGGCCCTGTGATGAGGGGCGGCTGGGCCACGAGGATGGTTTCTACAGACGATGGAGATCACCTCGTCAAGACCTCCATTTCTGCTCTGGTGGCGTCACCTGGGGGCTACGGTCTTCCTTTGCTGGCCCTTTCAGACAGCCTGCTGTGGAGGAATTCCCACTTGTTCAAAACGCACGCCACGCGGTGCAGGCAAACCCTTTCCCTAGGGGTCAGGTGTCGGGAGCCAGCTGCCAGTCCAGGTGCCAGCCTTGCTGGCTGTGCAGGCTGAACCTGGTGTCACCCTGTTACTTGTCGCTCCTGGGTCTTCCTGCGCCCCAGGCCTGCCCCACCGCCTGACACTGGCACCCAGGGCTCGGCTGCCAAGCCCGCCTTCCTCTGGTAGCCGTGAGTCAACATCCGAGAGGAGCCCCAGGACCCCGACAGCTCCCGGGGCAGGCTGCGTGGGCCCCTGAGGTGCAGCAATGGTGGACCAAGCCTGGACACAGGCCTCCCCACCCGGGGCCTATTTAATTGCCTGTCCATTGTTTGGGCTCTGGCTTTGTGCTCTTGTGTTTGGGGATACAGCTTGTCTGCCCGGGTCCTGGAAGTCCCTGCTCTACGATGACAACACGGACGATAAGGTGCTGGTGCCCTTTCACTGTAGACTGGGAGCATTTTTGCTTTCCAGAAAATGCCTAATAGACTGTTTGCAAATATCTTGTTGTTGTGGGGTAGAATGTTTTCTATTTCTACTGCAATTTACAGGACAGATTTTTCCCCTTAGTTGGAATCTTGTGATAACAAGGAGTGTAGAAATGTTGTGTTTTCTGTAAGGAACCGAAGAACTTTCCAAGCACCATTTCTCTCGAGTCTCCAGCCTCAGGCTTCAGAGCCTGGCTGGCTTCCTTGGCCGGGATTTCCTTTACCTAGATGTGTGTGTATTTGTAGGCCAGGGTATCTAGTCTTCTTTCCACCTACCGTCCATCCACCATCCATTTCTGGACTTTCCTGGAGGACCCAAAAGGTAAGGGCTGCCTGCGTCTCAGACTCCATGTTCATAGCCTTCTTCACAAAAGCCCACCCTTCTGGCGATGACCTTGCCGGCGAATGAGCCAGTTCTGTATCAAGCGCGATCCACATCTCCTTTGCTCAAATCAAGAGAATGGATGACAGAGTGGTCCTTTTCTCCTCAGCAAGTGCAGGGGCAGGGAGGGGCCACCAGTACAGCTCTGGGAGGGGACCCTACAGTGTAGTTATTCTTTCCTGGAGGGCTTAAGGACAAATAGCTTCTATGATTTCCATATTTAAATCTCATTTATGGAGTTTGATCTTTTTATCCACTTGGTTCTTTGCTCTTAAAAGCAAATAACCTGAGGATCATAAGAAACTTATTAAGGGAGCCAAGCACAGCGGCCCACACCTGTAATCCTGGCCACTCCAGAGGCTAAGGCAGGAGGATCGCAAGTTCAAGGCCAGCCTCAGCAACTTAGGGAGACCTTGTCAAAATAAAAAGGACTGGGGTGTAGCTTGATGGCAGAGCCTCCCTGGGTTCCAAGACCAGTACAGAAGAAAAGAAAAGGACCTTATAAAGAGGAATTGAAGTGTAGGTGGAGAATCAGCAAAAACACACTGTATCTAACAGGTGCATCTGTCCTGTGGGGACCTAGTGTCAATGTTCATGCTTCTTGGTACCAAACTAGGCAGTATCTATCGAGTGAGCTTCCACACATTCAAGATCAGCTCACAGAACTGTGTGAACTTTATTTTTTTTTTTTTAATTTATTTATTTATTTATTTTTAGTTCTCAGCGGACACAACATCTTTGTTGGTATGTGGTGCTGAGTACCGAACCCCGGGCCGCACGCATGCCAGGCGAGCGCGCTACCGCTTGAGCCACATCCCCAGCCCACTGTGTGAACTTTAAAACCAGACCACAGAATCACACCAAAGAATGATTTCTCCTCATATCTCATTACATTCTGAATTTTAAGAGTGAGATGTAGTCTGAACTTTTCTATTTAGGTAAAGCTATCACACATGTGACTAAACATCAACCTAAGCTGAGAAACAGGTATAAAGTTACAGGAGCTAGTGACTGGCGCTCTCTGGTTTTCAGGGCTTATCTTCGTAAATAAAGCATTGTTCCTTCCTATTTGGGGTGTGGACTTGAGTCCACGTCCACTCCTTAGGGACATGGACTGGCTGGTCTCTGCTGATTCCCAGCGTCTAGTGGTCCACAAAGGTGTGCTGCCTCCCTCTGCGCTGTGGCCTTTGAGGACAGGTCCACGTGAGTCTTCACAGAGACCCAAGCAAACCATCCCTTGGAAGCCCCGCTTGAAGCCACTGGCCCAAACATGCCTCCTCCTCTCACTGTCTTCATAAGAGCTTCCAGCAATGTGCTTTTTTTTTTTTTAAAGAGAGAGAGAATTTTTTTTTAATATTTATTTATTTATTTTTTAAGTTTTCGGCAGACACAACATCTTTGTTTGTATGTGGTGCTGAGGATCGAACCCGGGCTGCACGCAGGCCAGGCGACCGCGCTACCGCTTGAGCCACATCCCCAGCCCCCAGCAATGTGCTTCTTGCTTCTCCAGGGATTCTGTCTTTTTGTTTTTTCTTTCTTTTCTCTTTTTCTCTCTCCTTTTTTTTTTTTAGGTTTGTTCCCATGGATTCTGAGAAACTCTCCTCTCACACCCTAGGTGTTACTGCCTTTCCTTTGGTTTTGTTTTGAGGTTTTCATCCACCCTGGCTTTTTAATTTACTTTGTCACTTAAAAGGCAGGAATGTGGTTAGGAGGGTGCTAGGGAGAACAGCCAGTCTCGCTCATCAGCAAAAGCAGCACAGCCTCCCAGCACCCAGAGGACCCAGAGAGACCTGCGCACGTAGGGAGTGCAGCGCTGTGGGTGCTATCACTCGGTCTAACCAGCAATGCAGGTTAGACCTGCATTGGAAAAAGCTTCTGGAAAGAAAAAATATGCAGGTCACCAGATATCAAAAATATTGTAGGCTACAAGACTGTTTTACTGGGAAGTCCAAGAAAAAAATCTGGAAAGCCATATTTGGCGAAACTTGGCTATTTGTTAGAGTCGAGGCTCCCCTGTTCTCTCTGCTCAAAGCATCAGCATCAGTGGAACAGCCCCTGGGAGGAAAAGCTGACCACAGTGTCTAGCTGGAGCAGGAGCCTGCCCTTTCTTAACTCCCATATTTGAGAACTTTTAGTGATTACTGAGGGTGGAAGTCAGGGCTGTGGCACTTCTGCAATTACAACGTCACCTGTTTCACCAAGGCTGACTTAACTGCCGTCACCAGCCTGCTCCCATGACGACCCTTGTATGTAAGAAATCACTTTCTGTTCAGTGCACACACCAAGAGAACCACGTAGGCCAGGGCTGCAACTCCCTGCTTCAGAAGCCTCATTAACCTCAGAGGTAGGCTTCGGAACGGGACAGACTGTTTTAAACCACAGCTTCTTACACCTTGCTGAGAGATGGTGCAAGCAGCTGCTCTTAAACTCGGTTCCACTGCGAGTCAGCGGAGAGCAGGTCAGTGGTTACGTGGGCTGTGCAGACTCCACGGGCAGGCCCAGCAAGACAGCACCCACTTCCTCGGATCCCAGATAAACAAGTCACAGTAACTTAAGAATCTGCCTTTTAATAAGACTGGAGATGGGCGAGAAAATGGAAACCTCTTCTCCTCATTTTGGTAAATTCTACTAAATTGAAGTATTGTTTCCTGCTGAAGAGCTGGTTGAAGTGTGAACCGTGTACTTTCTAGGGAACTATGTAACAGCGTGGCGATACAGTTTCCACCTTCTTGGTACAGAATTTGCATCATGCTGCCCACTCAATTCTCACTGACAACCATGAGGATTTATTGACTAAAACAGGTGTAGATTACACCCTAACAGGCAGAATAAAGTTGGATTCCAGTGAAGGTAGATTTAACAGGGACAACAAAATACCCAAGAACATTACATTTTGTGTTATATCAAATTCAGTCAAAGGTAACTTCCCACCACATCCCACCACCCTTCCATCTCCACACCGCCAAACAAAAGGATCCCTGGCAGGAGAATGGTGGGATGTCCCGTAGTAAAAGCCACACTCTGAATGTTAGCAGAGAAGCCTGAGGAATGAAGCCTGGGAGAGTCCACAGCACGAGGCATGGTCACTGCACCATCTTTAAATACACGATGTCATCATATGTGCACTTTTCAAGCCATTTGGACTCAGAATACATGGTCAAGAGAGACCAATGTAATAACCATTCACTATAAAAAGTATACATTTTTTTGCATTCCATTAAATTTTAGAGCCAATGTTTTAAAATGTATTTCTAGACATTAAAATTTCATTCATGATAAAAGTGGGTTTGTTCCTTTGAACACCATATGGAACCCTCCAGAATATCAAATTTTAGGTAAGTTTGCAATAGGTTTCCCTAAATTTGTTGCCAATCAAGTATTTGAGAAACCAAGTTCTTACCAAATAGCATACTGTGCCTGTCTATGTGTGCATGCATTTACTAGAAATCACAGTAGAGATCATTAAATCCCTTTTTAGTTTATGAAGTGGCCTCAGTTCTTTCCCATAGCCAGATCTAATGCTTTATTGCCAAGGTTGTTGCATGCAGATCTGCAAGGAATTGAGGTTTTCTGAAGTCCTCAGCTTCACCTACAAGAAGACTTGGGTTTGTCATGATGCCAAACAACAGATTTTCAAAGCAAAATCAAGCACGGTACGAACAAGACGAAACTTCTCAGCACGAGAGACATGCAGACACGAACGCAGACATTGACCTTTTACTGGGACTCTGCTCTTCTCTACCAGTGGTTATGTCATGCCTAGAGTTCTGTATGATTAGCAGAAGTTCCACAAATACCTGAAAAAATAATTAGAAACCATCACTATCAATTAGATACCAGCAATTTAGTCATTTACATCCCACAAACACTACATGATGGTGGGAGTGCATTTTTGAACTTTTATTGTGGGAATACCACAGAACATTCCACCCAGAAAAAATCTAGTGAAGTTACTTTTAATTTTGTCTCTGTGCACAAAAGTAGAGCATAATCTATTCCCCACACCCCAAGCCCGGCTTCCACAGCGGCCGATCGGTGCTGTGCTCCGCTCGTCTTCCCATCTGTCTTGGCTGGAGTACTCTAAAGCAAGGCCAGGTATTGTGCAACTCACCCAGGAGCAAGGGAGTGTTTAAAGAAGACCATTTAGACCGTGTCCACAGCTGGGAAGGGCCGCAGTGCCCTGGGCATGTAATGTGAGAGCCAGTTAGGTATCGTGATTCCTACTGCTTTTGCAATTGAAAGCGATTAATGCCGATTCCATTTAGAAAGGCTATGGATTCTATGTTCATATGTGAATACACGACCAGTGTAACTCCACATCATGTATACAACCACAAGAATGGGAAGTTATATTCTATGTATGTGTGATATGTCAAAATACATCCTATTGTCATGTATAACTAAAAAGAGCAAATAAAATTTTTTTTGAAAAAAGAAAGACTGTGGATTCTGTTAGCCACAGAGTTTGTTGGAAATGTGCTAGCCTTTAAAGGTAATTATTTTATATTTTAAGGTCTTGCCATTTAGGTTAGGAAGACTAGACAACAAAGTGAGAATACTTTTAAGTTAATTGTAAGCTAAACAGTTCTACATTCTTGATATCTTATTTCATATATTACATTAAAGATGGGCATGTGGCGAATTCTACAGTTATTATATTTTTCAGTGTTTAAGATTTGCTCTCAAAGTAAAAGTAATATATTCAGAATATATTTATGCATTTCTCTTTCAACTCTCCACACAGTCTGTCTGACAAATACCTGCACAGACCTAAGAGGAACCAGCCACACGGGCTCTGTAGCAGTCTGCTTTCCACCTCCAGTGGATGCAGTTGTACTTTAAATTGCACCCTAGATCATATTAAGATTTGAATCATTTCCACTTCAAGACATCAAAATGACCATCTGGTGAAGCCTGGGTTAAATGCCACAGAACATTCCACCCAGAAAATCTAGTGAACTTACTTTTAATTTTGCCTAGAAAAAAGAGAGACTGTGAGGAAGAACCCCTGTTACTCTCACCCCAAGGGCAACCCACGTTCTACCCAGTCCTAACTGCAGGGGCATGCACGGGCCATGCAATCTGCAGCCTTCTCTGAGACTCGTCTTATCATCAAAGCTGACACACGTTTATGAAATCTCACTGTTTGCTGTTTCTTCATTCAAACGTGGCCATCTTAGACACCTGTTTTCTCCATTATTCCCCATTTATTTTTGTGTTGGGGGGGGTGAATGTTCAGACCTTAACATTTGGAGAATCTGTGGATGTGGCCCCATTTGCTCACATATAACTCTTAACAAGAGAAGTTAAACAATCTACGGTAAATTGAAAAAGGCAAAATTCACATATATGCAAAGTGCCTATTAAATACAGACAGTAAACTTCCATCCACTCTTGAGTTTTAGAAGCATCTATTTTCTAATAATTACTGATCTCCCTAAAAACAGCAAGTGAGCATTTTACCCACTCTTGGTATAGTGTCTGGCATGTAGTACACGCTCAGTAAAGAGTTATTTGTTAATGCAGTTTCTATGACTTCCAACACACACATTCACCTCTTTAAAATGCCATTCCAGCCACGGAGAGCAAGGCATGGTGAAGCTGTGGCAGAGGAAGCCCTTTCCCAAATAGCAGGTACAGCCTACTCGGGGGAGACTCACTGCACCTGTACTGCAGGTGGGGGGCCAGTACACCTGGAGTTCTGTGATGGGAAGCCTCACCCTTCACACAGTCAAGGAAACCACCCCAGTGAGTTGACAGGACTCACTTCTCTATTGCCACCGCGTCCTCCCTTGGAATTTGTATCATTGGGGTGTGCCTTTAATTTTTCCTGTGAGAAGGTTCACGTCTGAAAACACTCTCCACCTTGCACTTGTGGTATTGACATCGGCAGTAGGTTTCTAGTCTGTTTTTAAGGTGAGGACATCCTCCATTTTTAACTTAGGGATGGTTTTCAACACTGACAGAGCGCTTCACGGGGACATGGCCTGAGAGGACCCTCTCTGCCTCATCAGCAGTGCTGGGAGGCTCCCACTGCTGAGTGGCACCTCTTCCTCTCAATACTCCCGCTTGTAGGAGGAAGTGGCTTTATAAAAAACAAATGCAAATCAAGAATTATCTGGTGTTTTATCTCACACCAGCAATACTGTGTAGCTTAGGTTTATTCCATAAGCTTCTGCTTTTTTCAAGGTTGATATTAATTTTGATTTCCAATTTAAATTATGTAGAAGGAACAAAGAGAGATTGTTAATGTTATTGAAACCAAGTCCAGCTGCTGCACTTGGGACCACTGTTTTCCCCAGAATATGGACTTGGGGGAGACAACTGCAGTAGACAGAGGGTGACACTCTCCAGACTCCCTGGAAGGTCTGAGTAGGACTTCATGGGGGGGGGGGGGAATTACTTGCGTTTGTTACAGACAATTCTGATAAGTCCAGACCCTTCAGAGGGGCAACAGGAAAACAAGAATTTTGAGCACTCCTCACCCCATCTGTGCTGGCATCTTAGTGCAAATCTGTGTGGCTGGATTGTCTGAGAATCTTGAAAGAAACTTTCTCTGGGAAGGCAGGCTATGGACTTATGTGAAGTTCCTACACTGCACATTAAATGTCTAATGTCAATGAGGAAACTCAGACTGCTGAAGAATCACCATGTCATTTCACTGCATTCATCTGCAAACTTGTACTGAAACTGGACTTTTAAACAGAAGACAACCCAATTGTCTACTTAGTAAGGAAAGTTTCATGTTAGTAGGGGATTTGTGACCTTGCCTAGTAACTTTTGACAACAGCAATATTTATCTCCAAATGTGCAATAACTATCATTTTAAGAGTTGGCCCTAAACTTGATAGAATGGACACGTGTATGTCAGGCTTTCCTGTAAACGTGGCTAAATGCTAAACGTCTCACACTCCCACATCTTAGAAAGCACTCCACTGGTTTTAAATTGCTGTCTTCCTATATGTCCGTTCATTTCCTTCCCAAAGATATCTGAAAAGAATGCACAACTTGAACCACATCCCTGAACCATGTTAGACGAATGTCAAAGTGATCTGACCGGGTGAGTGGCCAGCCACCTACGACAGGGCCAGGGGCAACAGGCTTCGCCTTGGTACACAGCAAATGGCCATCTGCTCCCTCTCCTCCAGCTTCTGACTGGAGGAGAGTGTTGGGGTGATGTCTAAGAAGACGAGGCTTATTATTTGCCACCCTCTGATCCAGAAAAACACTTTTAAGATGAAGATAACTCTGGAAAAGGAATCTGGAAAAAAAGAATCCAGCCCCCCCCCAACAAACAAACAAAAACTTTAAAATTTTTCCTACAAAATAAGGAATCCCAACTTCTGCTGAAGCAAATACTTCAGTCACAAAGAGATTCTCCTTTCCAGAGACAGGATGGAAAATCCAATTTTTAATTTTTTTTAACCAAATGCTTTGAAGCCAGACATCTAAGTCTGAATGTCCCTGGAAACCACGGGGCTGTGCCGCTTTCCTCGTCCTCCCTCCCCTGCGTTCAAAGGAAGGCAAACCCTCGATTTCCAGGGACATGTTTCCCTCCCGGGTGTCTGATGCAGCGGAGACCCCAGAAGCCCATGTCAGAGCCCGGCTCACAGGGAGGCAGCGAGGCTCAGTCGACAAACAAGACGTTTGTCGAGCGGGGGTGAGCGGCTGCGCACACATGTTCCATCAGACACAGTACCTGATTCCTCACTGCACAGCTTGTCAGCTAGAGAGTGTGCCTCCTGGGCGATAAGTGAGAGTATTTCATCTTCGTACTCTTCTATTATGGTTTCGCACTGCAGAAACATAATAACAGCACATGTGTACACACACTGGCGGGGCTGCTGCCCAGGAAGGGCTTAGCTCCACAGTATTAGCGACACACAGGAAAGCTGTGGCCAAGGTGGGCCCCTTCTCTTGGTCCTTGGGTTTAATACATCATTGCGTTGGATTAACCCTCTTCCCAGAACATTAATGGCATCATTTTCCTGGGACTTAACTAAATGATTAGTGGAGCTGAAAGACATGGGACTTGAAGAAGGAAACAACTTCTTCCTATTTATTTCTCTTCCTAAAGTCAGAAGGCCAGGCACAGGAAGAGGTGGGCTTCCTAGCTAAGGCGCTGAGATCTGGGAACTCTATTTTTAAACACATTTTAAAGAACACAACTCCTTGAAATGGTGAAACCAGTTTCCTTCCAATTCAACATGATAATCCATTTTGTGGTTTGAAAGTGTAGAAACTATGAGGGCTTCTCAGCCATCAGAACAAACACTTCTTCGGTTTCACTTTGGAGAACCTGCTGGCTTTACTGAGGGAAGGGTCTTTTCAGAGCATTTATAGATCCACCTGAAATCTCATTTAGGGTTCCAGAAAGAAATGAAAGAAGGGAGAGAGAGAGAGAGAGAGAGAGAGAGAGAGAGAGAGAGAGAGAGAGAGAATGACATTTCAGAGAAGAAGGAGCTCAAATTTGCCTCTGCAACTGAAAATCTTAAATTTCTACTGAGGTATGTTCCTTCATTAAAGAATGACCAGGTGACAATTTTAGGAATGGTGACATTACTGAAGGGCATTCAGTAGTCTTGGAAATCATTTTCTGAGTTCACTAAACAAGTTTCTAAAATTTTTAAACAGCAGTTAAAATATTTAAATTTCACCATAATGTGTTTATTAAGAACCTGTCATTCCTATTCCACAATATGTTTAACTCTGAATTATTGTCCTCATCTTTTAATTAAAATGAAATCTTCAAATGTCAGCTACTTCCCTCACTTCAGGGTTTCGGCGAGCCTGACATTTTGGCCAATGCGTAAACTTAATACATTTTTTAAAGCAGGCTTGCCCATCACTGTGGGATTCAACCGTATTAAGTAAAGGGAAATATACTGCCATAATATTTTGCCAGGCACATTCTTGCAAGACAGGCCAGCATTTATGTAAAATAAATATTATACTGGAAGGAAATTTGGCATTATGCCAAATATCATACCTAAGCTTTTATTTAACTCAGTTTGTGCTGGAATACTTGTGCTACCTCAGGAAAATAACTCTTCGTTGAAGCCTTGAGTGGGGGATGATTACATTACTCTCCTTTATCACGTGGCTATAAAATATTTGAAAACAATATTTGTTTTCATTTGGATTTTAACCTAGAACCCACAGCTCCCGACTCCTTATGTGCTCATCTGTGAGACCCCCGCTTCCAACAGGGCAGGCTAAGGTCCCCCTACACAGCAGAGTGGTCCTAGGCAAACACTGCAAACTGTCTTACAGTCACAGGGGTTGGGGGACAGCAGCTGATGTAAGATATCACTCAGTCTGTCCACTGACTGCCAGAGACCACAAGCCCTCCCGTGAAAGGCAAGTTGGGGAGTGCACACTTAACACTTCTCAGAGCAGGACACCAAGTGTGGCAGGGTGACGTTTCAATGTGTACCTTGCTGTTCAGTGTCTTGAAACTCAGCCACAGCTAAAGAGTGGGAAAGACAAAAAAAAAAAAAAAAAAAGTACCAAAAACAGGCTCACGCATTAAATAATTCTTCTTAAAAGAAGAGAGCTTACCGCAAATTTCAAAGGTCTGTAGGCATCAGAATAAAAATAGAACTTTTTATATTCTTTGTATATTTTTTCTCCTTTCCTTGGCGCGTATCTCTTGAAAGTTTTCTTTTTAGTTACCGGGTCTTCCTCTAGCTGGTAATCGTTCATTCGCTCACACACTTTATCCAGAAGGTCCGTCAGGAATGCCTCGGACTGGGCCAGGGGGACCTGTGAAGAGAAGCACGGCGTGCAGGTCACTCGCCTTCACGCTGACCCAAGTGAAGATGGTCCAGCGGGCGCGCGGGAATGCATGACCCCGCTGCTGCAAAGCGTCCACGTCTGAACACAGCGTCTCAGCTCCGTTATTTACATAATTTAAGGTCAGCTTAAATTTTAGTAGGGAAAAGTATATTCAAAAGAGGACAGAAAAAAAAGATCTGGAAACTATACCTACGCATATAATTCCTAAAAAAAAAAAAGTCATTGAACATGCAGAAAAAAAGCTTGAAGCACAGAAGACAGTTGTTTATCTATCTATCTAGAGAGGGAGTGGGGCGGGGGACGGAGGGAGAGAGAGAGAGAGAGAGAGAGAGAGAGAGAGAGAGAGAGAGAGAGAGAGAGAGACGCGCTCCTGCCCGGGAACTCTGCACCCGCTCGCAGGGGAAACCAGAAGTTTCGCGCTCCGCGTCAGCGCGCTCGGCTGCAGCCCGCGGGGTGCTCGGGGTGCGCGGGGTGCGCGGAGTGCGCGGGCTGGGAACGCTGGCGCCCCTCTCCCTCCGGGGTGCGGCGAGGGTCCCGGGGCCCTCTGGCCGCCACCTCCGCCCTGGGCGTGGGTCAAAGAGCACCCCGCGCCCTTGGTAACCAAGACAAAACCCTTCGGGCCGTCTAGACAGGTCAAGGTGCAGGAGGCTGCGTCCCCGCGGCTCCTTCCGGAAGGGGGCGTGGAGCCGCCAAGGGCGCCCGGCCCGCGCCCGGCCCGCGGCTTTGCGGGCTTTCTCCCTCTCCACCCTCCGCTGATCAAAGTAGGAAGTTTGCATGACAACCGCGGTGAAAGGGACTGCATCACAAATGAACTCGGTCTCTGCAGTGTTGATATATCCAGGCTCCTTTGTCCCCTTTCACACGCAGTGTGAACCCTTCCGGTGCCAGCGACCGCGCGACATTCACAGGCGCGCTCGGGGCGCACAAAGGGTCTCCGCGCTTCACCGCCATCTGGCCGCAAATCTCATCAGCCAGAGCGGCGGAATTAACATGAAAGCGCAGGGCGAGGGGGTTTGTGTGGCGCAGACCCGGGCGATTATAAACCACCCCGTTGTCGCCACCGTCGGCCCCCGTTTCAATAAGGAATCAGCCCTGTACAAACATTCTGAAAGGAACACGGGAAGAGGAGAGCCTAAGAGGAAACCGCCACCACCCACCAGCTGCACCTCGCGTGCACAGGTAACGTCCCCGGCGGCGGGAGGCAGCGCGAGCTGCTCGCAGGCCCGTGCGTCCTCGTTTGCAGTCCAAGAGTTGGTTGTGCTAGGACACGCCGCAGCCCCTGGTTCTCGCTCAAATACCAAGTTTTTAACTCCTAACTGCCTTAATTGTTAAACATCTCTGCTGTCAAAAACTGGTGCATGCCGGTGTTTTACTCACGCCTTTACCATGCCCTTCGAACTTTGCAAGTTGTAACAAGATATACGTAGGCCCACAAACCTATCTAAATCTGCTTTATGACTGACGGAAACCAAGGAGCAAACATGTATCCTTCACTGGGAAAGTTACACAATGCAGAGGTGAATTCTTAAATCACACCAAGTCAGAATGATCGTGGGCGGGTTTTCCTGCAGCGCACGTGTTCCGAGTATCCTTCCTTATCTGACGCATACCTATATATTCATACTTCCTGGGTGTAAGAAGCAGCATTTTACTTGAAAGTGAAGAGTGGACTCTTTGATTTAAAAAAAATCTAACTGTAATCAAGAAATCCATTCTCTCTCCCTCCCACTTCCCCCTCTTCGCCCAACGGGAAAGCAAACAGACTTGATGGTTGGGGGGATGGGGACCGGTCTGGGGGCTGGAGCCTGTGAGAAGCCCAGCCCCTAACCCCGGGGTGCCAACAGGCCCCTCACACACCCGGCCTGGCCTGTGGAGTACAGGTCACTCTAGAACCTGATTTTTAAACTAACCTAACACTCTGAGCTGCTCAAAAATTATTGAGCCCATACATTTTAGGCAAAACCACGATGTTGGTGTGTGAGAGGCCTGCCACCACTGGTCTTTGAGAGCCCTTTTGTGTCCTGGGTTGCACTTTTTGAAAATAATCTTTCCACTTCGCAGTGGGTTGTTTTTCCTTTTTTTTTTAAAGTATAATTTTATATATTGGAGTCAAGCAACATTGTGCCTATTTCAGCACACGTATGTGATGGCCAGGGATCATAGTGGATTTCTATAATGCTCCAAGTCCAGGGAGGCTGATGGCCCTGCCAAGTACAGATCCTCTAAAAGCAGGAAATGGTTGCTGGCAGCTAGCTCAAAAGACTCCATGTAACCGAGTCCTGTAAGCAGGAAAGGGAGCACATCCAACCTGACACTAGCAGAAGTCGTTTTACTGAATATTAAAAATATTTCGCTCTTAAAATACCAAAGCATCAGCTTTTTTCCCCAGAAAATATTTAAGAAAAAAATGCTCATCATTGTGGCTCTTTATACAAGTATTTAAATGTACATGAATAGAGTTTTCAATGATTCTACTTAGCAGAACCTCCTTCAGTAAATTTAAAGAGTGTCCTTAGAGTGAGCCTCTTTCCCCTTGGATCCTTTGGATTCTGAGAGCACAGGAAGGACTGGGACAAGAGGGTGAGACTGAGTCTTTCTCTCTGTGCTGCGAAGATTTTGAATGGTACTTGTCAATAAAGCGACTCCTATTGTAACCTCCCGGAACCTTGCCTCCGCCCTCCCTGGACGCCTCGGAGATACTAGCCTCATTAAAATATGAATGAAAAGGCCGCCATCGCTACCGAAGTGGCGGAAGAGGATTCACTGGCGCAGTTTTCTTATCTGCCATTTCTTTTGCACGTGGGCCCATTTGGTACAAGTCAGAAATTAAAAAATGATCCGTGATAATTTCATCGCTATCTTGGAGTACCCCAAAGTAAATCCTAACTTCTCTCACTTTGGAAAGCCACCTACAACTTAAATCATACGTTGTACATGCAGTGTCTGTCCCCCACCCCCGCCCCCATTTAGGCTTCCATTGACCGTGTGCTCAGTAAGTGAGCACTGGATTGGGGGCTGGGGAATCTCCTTATCCCAACTTTACAACCGAAAAAGTCGGCAAAAGTTCTGGCTTTGGTTTCTCTAGAACACTGCAGCTAGGGAGTTTATTACCGGCCACTGTGACACACTTTAATAACAGTCAATTACAGGATGCTGCCCGTGTTTTTTCATTACTGTGTCCCTGTTAATCTTGTAGTAAATTTCTTGCTTGATAGCTATCACAATCAGGGAGGAATACAATTATGTCACAGTGCACAATTAGACCTGAAAATCGTTGTGTGGGGTGTCTCTCTGCCATTACAGTCTGACAGTCACCAACAAATTTCACTCATTTTGATCATTCTTTTGGAGTTGCCTTCAGATACGAAACCAGCACTTAACCTGTTTAGGCACTGATAATTAATTTCACATTGTTGCAAAGATTTCCTTTCTACAGGGTTAGTTAATGTAGAAATTTTAATTGCATTATAGCAAATATCGCATCTAGTTTAATCACTAACTTTTCATCCATAAAAAATGGAATCATTCCTGATATTAGTTAAAAGTCAATATTTAGAAATGAAAATTCCAAGCCCTTGCTTTAGGCTACAACAGAAGCATGAATTCAGAAACTCTTGTAAGCTGATGAGATATATAATTAGCCTTTATGTTAATTGACTGCTATGAGTTTGTTGTCTGACACTTCTTCATATAATATGCAAATGGCATTGACTGCTTAGTTTTATTAGACAATATAATTAGAAATCTGAAGGAGAGCTCCAGAGCTCATTCTGATGAAGAACAATGAAGGCTGACACATTTGCAGTTTTCTGTATATCAGAAACACTGAACGGTGTCTGGGCAGAGTCCGAGGAGGTTTTGGATGACCTTTCTTTAGAGAGAGATTGCGACAGGCAGCTGACCTCACAGTGCCCCAAGCGCCAGGAAGTCCTTTTGAGCAGGTGATGCTGGGCCATCATAAGGTCTGGGAGGAAAAGTGGGAGGACTTGGGGACCATGTACCACACATCACAATATAGTGGTGAACACAGCATCTAATTTTTGCTTTCTAAAATTTGAATAATGGAAACTAGTCATTCTTATTTAAAATAAAATATTCTGCCCGTATTTCCTGCCATTACTATTCATAGACATATCAATAGCATCAATAGCAAAAACTCAGGTTGTTTAAAAAGTGCTAATAAGATGAGAACTAGGGCTGGGGATGTGGCTCAAACGGTAACGCGCTCGCCTGGCATGCACGGGGCGCTGGGATCAATCCTTAGCATCACATAAAAATTAAGATGTTGTGTCCACCGAAAACTAAAAAATAAATATTAAAAAAATTCTCTCTCTCTCTCTCAAAAAAAATTATAAAAAAGATGAGAACTATGTGATTTGGGGTAAATTTTTCCTGGGATTCAGTGTCATTTTTATTCTGGAAGCTCTTTCCACTCAGGGACAAAATGGAAAAAAAATCCCATGATGGGCCAGCGTTGAACGGTCACCAGATAGGAGTCGCCTAATAGAATCCAACTTTTCCTTGAAGTCAAAAACGTGCCTTCCTCTCATTATTAAATGTAAGAACAGTAAAGCCATTGTTTTCCAATTTTAAAATAGTATTCTGCTAGTCTTCCTAAAAGCTTTTTAAATTTCAAGCATGTTAGGTAAAAGAAAAGAAATATATCTATGGACATGAAAAATGGCACCATATTTCAGCCTCTGTTAAGAATCATTGGCCTAGGACCTGGGTACCTGCTTTGCCCTCCGTCTGGCTTTGCCCCGGCCTGGTGAGGCTCCGGCAGTTTTCCTCACCCCAGCCCTTTTTATTTCATTTTTTAAAATTTTGAGTCGCGGTCTCACTAGGTTACTTACAGCCTCACTAAGTTGCTTTGAACCTGCCATCTCCCTGCCTCAGCCTCCCAAGCTCTTTTGCTCTTCCAAAAATGACTAATAGAAAAAAGAGAGAGCACCTGAACGGGCAAGCCA